TGGAGCACTGCCCCCCAGGGTGAATAACGGTCGAGGAAATTCCTCGACCATAGCTCTCTACCATGCGAGAGTAGTGCCGAGAGTGAACATCCGCGCGGAGAGCACAGACGGCACGCGCATGGCGAGTGTGAATGTCCGCGCGAGAGATCGTCTCTGATCGGGCAGAGAATCCTCGACGTGCCGTTGAGGAATCCTCAAGCGATATTCACCCTGCTGCCCCCACCCGTATATTGCGATAGCGCTCGTATCCAACGCAGACAAGCCCAAGCTGAGGTTTGATCCTTATGACAACTCCAATTCGAGATTCGATTCTGGTGGGAGAAAAGGTTTGCATAGCCTAGATGAGTCATAGATGATATCAAACCGGGGTTGGGAGAATAGATCCACACCGTAGCCGCGCTATCTGTCACTGCGTCATCTTCATGAAATATTCTATTTGTATTTACTCCATCAATAATGAAGTAGAATTATGTAGAAGTAGTACCATCTCCAAGCAAACTAGTTTTTGTTTTAGCAATCTTCTTTTACAAAGAGCAAATGAAGGCACTGATGTAATTGACAAGCATCATTAATTATAATTATAAGGTAATAATTATAATTCGCTGAGGAATGCGTGTTACAGAGACCAGAGAAATTTGCTTCTGTTTTCGAAAGCAATTTCCACGACGATTATTAAAAAAGTAATTTGATGTGTGTTGTTGTGATCCGGTCGAACGGCGAATGAATAATATTTGAAAAATGAGTAATAAGCTTGGTCATGGCTTGTTCAATTAGCGGTACTCACGGCAACCACTAGATTACTACCTGGAGAATTTTCAAGTGAATTTTTTATTAGGTTAACGATTTTTTCAAAAAAATCCAATTCTGAGAGACTCGAAGAATTACCCCTACTGAACTCATCAGGCCAAGATTGCAAGAAGGTCGAACATGGACAATTTGCGAATTGTTTCCAATCTCACAAAGGCATCAGCCTGGCCGATTTGGAACGCGGGGGATCGCATTCGTAATCTCAAAAACGGTGAATATTATTTGGCGGGATGAGATTCCGTCTCGGAAAGACATCGTGTGAGAAACTCTCAGTTTGGAAGGATTTGGCGGAATTCCAAGAAAATTTGGAAATTTTGGTAGGATTTAGTGTAGCAAAAGTCATATGCTCCCCCCGCCATCCCCTCAATGCACTTTTTTCACCTTTTCCATTTTTCTTGATTTCTGAACTTTTGGAATCATAGAGATTGGACTAGAAAAGTGTCAATTTGCTTAGAACGTGTATCTGAAATCAGGTAGATAGAAGCCACGGTTGACTCTAGAACTAACCGCAAATGAGCACTGAAGGCATAGATTTTTGCTTTCGGCAACCATGAGCCACTGGTAGTGCGCAGGTTACTGATAGGTAGTTTAACTGCCTTATAGGTTGGAAGGTTATTTTTATCGCCTTAACCACCCATCCGTAATATTCACCAGGTCGCGGCCGATGTTGGCGTGCACTTGGACTTTCATATGATTAGGAAAAAAACCAGAAAAAGTTGTCTCTTAGTTGGGAATGTTGGGGTACGGGACGTGCCAACCACCTTTCGAAGTATTTGAGAGGACCACCTTTTTTGCGAAGATATTGGGTTGTCCGGAAAATCCTGCGACACTTGGAATTTGAGGATCGCTAGCTATTCGAAAGCAAATAGCGCCCAATTTTGATCTACGTTAAGGTAGACTATACCTAGCGGGTGTTGCGAAATATTATTAAAAGGCTTCCTCTCTAACGGGAAAACAGTTATGGATCCTACAAGTCCGAGTATCCTTCGACCCATCGTGTATTATGAATTCCTACAAGGGCATTCTGCAAGAGAAGCAGCTAATAACATCTGCGCTGCATTCAAGAAGGATGTGGTACACCATTCCACGGTCAGTCGCTGGTATCATCCGCTTCGAGTCCGGAGATATTTCTCTCGAAGGACATGAACGTCCTGGACGCCCATCAACTCTTCGTGATGAGGACTTACGCAGCGCTTTGATCTCAAAGCCGAACATAACCACACGTGGGAGTGCCGCAGTACTGATAGGTAGTTAACTGCCTTATGGTGAGTTATTTTAGTCGCCTTAAACGTAATCCATCCGTAATATTCACCAGGTCGCGGCCGATGTTGGCGTGCACTTGGACTTTCATATGATTAGGAAAAAAAATAGAAAAAGTTGTCTCTTAGTTGGGAATGTTGGGGGCACGGGACGTGCCAACCACCTTTCGAAGTATTTGAAGAGGACCAACTTTCTTGTGAAGATACTTTTTTTGTGAATGATCATTCTTCTTATGCTTACTCGACTCCAATAACGCTAGAAACATCGATAATATTGCTTCCGTAGAGACTGAACTACTAAGAAACAGTTTCAATTTCGTATTCCGGATTGTAGGGTTTAAAAAGGACCCCCATGGAAAAACTGCTTTCTTTGCATATGAATTCATTTTGAAATTACACATTGCTCAATGGTTTAACTAAAATTAACAGAAACAAGTAAACATTGAAGAGTAGGAATCATAATATTACTTGAAAAAATCCTATTTCTCAAATATGATTATAGGTTTTTGAAAATTGTTCTTCCCGTCGTATTCTGAACTCGATTTTGTATGGAATATCTAATTTGGGACAATTTCGTTGTGTATCGGCCGCGCTAGATCAAAAATAAAAAAGTTTCCAAACTTTGACCGCTACTGTACGTAAGTGAGCATTCATTAGACTGTTTGTGATCATCAGACCGTTGTCAGCCGAACGAATGGCAGATTGACTTTAGGAAGTACTTTTTGTTTTTCAACGCCTGTCTTGAATTTGTTGATTTGTTTTGTATACGAGGGTCAGAATTTTAAAAACCAATAACATGAGTAACCACATTTTTTCTAGACTCAACTTTCTCCCTCCAATCGTTTCTTCGCTAGGTTTACACCATTACTGGATATACAGGGGCACCTCGCCCACAGGACACTAGCG